AGCTAGAGCAGAAATATCTTTCTTGTGTTTTCTTTTATTGAAAATAGTAATCATTAATTCATCAAAACCTGAAGTAATACAGTCCTGACGGATGTGGCTCAGTGTGTTGGGCATTATCCTGCAAACTGAAAGGTCGCCAATTCGATTCCAAGTCAGGGCACTTGCCTAGGTTGTGGGCCTGGTCTGTGCGACAGGCAACGGATTGATGTTTCTCTTGTACATCAATGTTTCTCTTCCTTTCTTCCCTGCTTCCCCGCTCTCTAAAACTAAATAAAAATCTCAAAAAACTGAAGTAATACAGAAAAGTTAAAGTTGAATTAATTTTCTAAAAAGAAAAAGAATTCAACCACCCAAAGGCCCCATATCATTAGCATTTTGGTGCACGTTCAAACATACAACAATGAGGTCATGTTAGAGATAGGGCTGTGTTACTTGATTTAATTACTTAAACATGTGTCACTAATATATCACTCAGGATTGGCTACACTGTACTGTGGTAACAACACCCAAATCCCAGCATCTCAAATGACAAATGTTTATTTCTTGCTTATACAACTAGTCTGTCCTGGGGTAGCAGTGGAGGAGTATGCATGTTGTGGTCAGTTGGGAACCTGGACTTGACAGAGCAGCTACCGTCTCAAACACCGCTAATTACTGTGCCATAAAGAAAAGGCATTTCTGTAGTATCACACATTGGTAATTAAATATTTGGCCCAGAAGTGACAAATGTTCCTTGCATTTATCCCTTCTTGCCCAGAACAAGTCACACGGCCCTGTCTTGTCACAAGGGGGCCAGGAAATGCAGTACATCTGGCAGAGAGCTGCAGAAATATTTGGTGAACAGAATTGAAGTCCAAGCAAAATGAACATTTATTGATGGCAATAAACATAGGTCTACATTATTATATTTATTAGCTGTATTCTAATTAGTCTGTATATCTCAATATATTTAATCAAACCACTTTTAATGGTGATTTATGCAATTTCTAATTATTAACAATTGTTTCAAAAGTTGCAAAGAATTTTCTTGTACATTGATACAGTGAGAATATAAAATCTTATAGCCACTTGGAAATCAGTTTGGCAATTTCTTAAAAGTTAAATTTACCATACATCCCAGGAATTCCACTCCCAGGTATCTACCTGAGGGTAATAAAAACATATACCCAACATCAAGACTCGCATATGAATTTTCAAGCAAGTTCCATATCATACCCAAATAATAGCTCCTAAGCAGAAATAACCTAAATCCATCAGCTGATGAATGGATAAACAAAATATGGTTTATTCATACAATGGAATATTATTCGGATACAAAAAAGAATTAAGTACTGATACATGCTACAACATCGATGAATCTTGAGAAGATTATGCTAAATCAAAAAAAGCCAGTCATAGTGGGGGGTGAAAGCAAGGGAGGGAGGTGGGTGAAAAAAGCCAGTCAAACAAGACTGCATATAGAATGATTCCACTTCTATGAAATGTCCAGAATTAGCTGATCCACTGAGACAGAGTTGATTAGTGGTTGCCTAGGGCCAGCAGAAAAGCAGGGGTTCTGAGGTGACAGCTAAAGGATACAGAGTTCCTTCTGGGATAAATAAAAATGTTCTAAATTGATTATGGTGATCATTGCACAGCTCCACAAATATACTAAAAACATTGAATTGTGTACTTCATTTTTTAATTATATTTTATTGATTATACTATTACAGTTGTCCCACTCCCCCCCCCCTTTGCCCCCTCCACCCAGCAACCCCCTCAGGCAATCCCCGCATCAGTGTTAACATCCAAATGCCAAGTGTATAATTTCCTTGGCTATTTCATTTCCTATACTGTACTTTACATCTCCATGGCTATTCTGTACCTACCTATTTGTTCTTTATAATCCCCTTACCTCTTCACCCATTCCCTCACACCCTCTTTCCTTTCGGCAACCATCAAAATGCTCTCCATATCCATGATTCTGTCTCTGTTCTTCTTGTTTGCTTTGTTTGTTTTTTAGATTCAATTGTTGATAGATGTATTTATTGCTATTTTATTGTTCATACTTTTGATCTTCTTTTTCTCAAATAAGCCCCTTTAACATTTCATGTAATAATGGTTTGATGATGATGAACTCCTTTGTTTTTTCTTGTCTGGGCAGCTCTTTATCTGCCTTTTGATTCTAAACGATAGTTTTGCAGGTAGAGGAATCTGCTTTTCATGACTCTAAATACTTCTTGCCAGTCTCTTCTAGCCTACAAAGTTTCTTTTGAGAAATCAGCTGACAGTCTTATGGGAACTCCCTTGTAGATGACTAACTGCTTTTCTGTTGTGACTTCTAAGATTCTCTCTTTTTCTTTAAGCTTTGGCATTTTAATTATGATGTGTCTTGGAGGAGGCATCTTTGTGTCTGTCTTGTTTGGGACTTTCTGTGCTTCCTGGACTTGCATGTCTATTTCTTTCACCAAATTAGACAAATTTTCTGTCATTATCTTTTCAGATTTCCAATTTCTTGCTCTGTCTCTTCTCCTTCTAGTCCTCTATGATGCAAATGTTGGCCCACTTGAAACTGTCCCAGAGACTGCTTATAGTATCCTCATTTTTTGGATTCTTTTTCTTCTTGTTCTGATTTGTTGTTTTTTGCTTCCTTATGTTCCAAATCATGGACTTGATTCTTTGCTTCATCCATTCTACTGTTGTTTCCCTGTAAATTGTTCTTTATTTCAATTAGTATCTCCTCCATTTCTGACTGGATCTCTTTTATGCTGTTGAGGTCCTCATTAAGTTCTTTGAGCATCATTATAACCAGTGTTTTGTACTCTGCATCTGATAGATTGCTTACCTCCATTTTGTTTAGTTCTCTTTTCTGGAGTTTTGATCTATTCTTTCATTTGGGCCATGTTTCTTTGTCTCCTCACTTTGGCAGCCTACCTGTGTGATTATATGCATTAGGCAGAGCTGCTATGACCCCCTGTCTTGGTAGCATGGCCCAATGTAGTAGGTATCCTGTAGGATCCAGTGACACAGCCTCCCCTGTCATTCAAGCTGGGTACTCGAGGTGAGCCCTTCGTGTATCTGAGTACATCCTCCTCTTATATTTGAGCTTTGATTTCCATTAGCAGATCAATGAGATGGATTTACCCAGGCTAGTAAGCTGCAAAGACTGGCTATGACCACTGACTACCAATCTCTGCCCTCTGTGGAGGATCAGTTGTGTAGGGGCAGGGTGGTGGTGCTCTGATGTGGTCTGCAGCTCTCTGCTAGATGCATACACTCTGGGGTTTCCTGGGTGGTGAAAGCCAAGGTCAGCCCCACCTGTGTTCTGCCCAGGGCCACTCTGCATGAGCTGTAGAGCAATCTGAGATGGCTGCTACTTAGCTGGGCTTGGAGAGCCTCAGGTGAAGGCAAACTGTGAACCCAGGCTGGCCGTTGTTAGTGCCAGCCCTGGGTCCACTTAGCAGGAGGTACGGGGGGTGGGCTGGGGACTTAGTGAGGCCTGTTGTTGCTTGTTTGAAAGGATTTAGGAATTTGTGAAGCATGAGCCAAGACCAGCCAATCATATGGAAAAGTCACAGTTAACAGTTTGGGTGGGCCATAAGTTGAGTGGGACAGAGTCTCAGTGGATCTCCAGGGAGAGGCAAACTGTGTTCGCCAAGTTGATGGAGTGTCAGATATGGCACCTACTTGCTGGCTCTGTGAGTCTGTGTGGGAAGGCTCAGAAAAGGGACAATGGCCTCTGCTCACCTTTCTGTGTGGGAGAAAGCTTTCCTCCATCTCACACCTTGTTGCCAGTCAGTTCAGTTCCTCCCCGTATGCCACTGGTGCCTTTCAAACTGCTACTCCTGTGCTAGAGCTCAGAGAGAGTGAGTTGAGTAAGCCTGTGTGTGGTTCTTTAAAGGAAACTGCCTGGGACTCCAGAAGTTTCTTCCACTGACTCAATCCCTGCTGGTTTTCGCAGCCAGAAGTTATGGGGACTTACCTTCCTAACAATGGAATCCTGGGCTGGAGGGCTAGGTGTGGGGCTGGGTCTCCTCATTCACAAGATATCCCTCCTAAATTTTTATCTACCTAACATGAGTGTGGGACCAGCCCATTCCCAGTCTCTGCCCCTCCTACCAGTCTGGATAGAAGTGGTTTCTTTAATTTCATAGTTGTCAGACTTCCATTCAACTTGTTTCTGATGGTTCTGAGTGACAGTTGTTTTGTATTTTAGTTGTAATTTTGATGTGTTTGTGGGAAGAGGTGAGCTGTGTTTACCTATATTGCCATCTTGACTGGAGGAACATACTTTCAATTATTCCCCATAAAACTGTTAAAATAAGACATACGTAAGATTCAGGCAAATCTTTCAAGTTTTTAATCTACATTGTGAAATTGTCTCACAGAAAGGACAATTTATTACAGCAACAATAGTTCACACTTCAGTTATTTAAACATTGATTTTCCATGAGTAAAGTTCAATGATAAGCTGGGACTTTTAAATTAGTCCAGAGTGGCTGGTTCATTAGCACAATTTTTGAAAGTGGGGATCTTGTCATCTTCCCAGGGTCTCCCCCTTCATGTGGGAAAGCACAGCAAATCATCAAGAAAAACAAAAGAACATTCAAGTTCAGTTCAGCTTTGCTTTCAGGGTTTCCTGGAGTTTTGAGTTGAATAATTGAGTAAGGTCAAACACGTTTACTTATTGTAATGGAGACAATATGAAAGAGCTTATTTTCAAGCCCAAATAAAATAAAATAATGCAGATGAACTTTTTGTTCTTGTCAATTCATCCATACTCCTCTAGCAGATTTAAAGACACTCAGACGATGGGGCAGTGTGACATCGTGGGTTCAGCAGTCCACCAGGTCTAGGAGGGATGAATGCAAATTCTGTCTCAGAAGCTTTCTGACTAAAGATCAAAACTGTTTTTCAGGATAGATAGTCCATTTTGGGAATTTCAATTGATTTTAACTTCCTTATGTAACTAACTCCTTTGAGAATAATCTCCCAATCATATTTCATGACTTCTCTTTTAGGTTGGAGCCAGGGTCCCGAGGCAAGTCCGGCTGTTGCAGAGGCTGGTATGTATATACATGGTGCACCTTACATCTGTCCCTCACGAGTCTGGGTATTTTGAACCAGGCACTAACTTTGTTTGCAGCTCCTCCAAAGTTTATAAAGCTGCTTGTAGAAGGATTCTAACATGAAACAGAGTAGCTTTTATAAGGCTTTCTTTAAGTGGATTTTTCTTTATGGAAAGAGACTTGATTATTTCAGTAGGAGTATAAGGACAAAGTGTGAAATTCTAAAGGCCTTCTTATGAAAAATACACACCTAAATTCACCATTACTTTTTTAGACATTTTTACATGAAAATAAAGGCTGACCTATGAAGCAAACAACTAAAGCAAATGAAGAATTCACATTTGTAAAGTAAAGCTTCACATGATACACGTTGGGCAAGGCTCTAATGCATGTTGGAGACTAATAGATGGGAGCTCAGGTATTCATTCAACAAACAGTTTTTTGAATGCTTACTATCAGCACCACACTGTTGCAGGCACTGTGTACACAGCAATGAACAAAACAGACCAAAGGTCCTGTCCGTCACAGTGCTTGAATTGTCAAGGGGCACAGTGATAAATTAAACAAATACATTGTAAGTGTATTAGTAATAGAGAAGATAATGAATACCACGACAGAGGAAGATGGGGGGAACTTACATACATTTGCATCTGTGAGATTTTTGGTCATCACTTTCAAACAATGGGATCCTACAATGACAGCCAATATGTACTGAGTGCTCACCATGTACCAGGCATTGTTCTAAGTGCTCCATGTGTCATAGCTCAGTCACCCTTGTTACAATTCTCTGAGGTATTTTACAGATGAGAAAAACAAGCTTCAGAGCGACTGAGTAACTTGCCCTAAACTACACAGTTGGTAGGAGGTGGAAGAACCGGGATTTGAGTCTCAATAGTCTGGCTTGTGAAGCCATGCTCTTAACTAATACACCAAACTGCCTTCTCAATTATATCTGATTTTCTATTTATTATTATTTTCACTCAACACTGCCTCACCTGGCCTAGCTCTATCCATTCTGTTACATGGGGAGAAATACTCCATGTTGTTGGCACATCATAAATTATTAAGCACTCTACAACTGATGACTTCCCAATTTTTTCCCCTATGAACACTGCTGCAAAAAGCTTTCTGTTTATTTTGTTATGTGGGTGGTTTTAATATAATAGTCCAGATTTTTCATTAGGAGGGCTCCTGGATCACAATGCATGTACATTTTAAATTTTGATAGATGTTTTCAGATTACTTTTTGAATACTGTTACACTTAATACTATCTGTGTTAACTTTATTTCTGTCAGCAATAGAAATAATAATTCTTTTTTTTACTTACCAGTCCTTTAGATATAAAGTGATTTTTCATTGTTCCTTTAATTTGCATTTCCCTAATTACTTATGAATTTGGACTTTTTTCCTATACATTTCTTGGCCATGAAGAGTAGTTCTGTGAATTGGTTTTTTCAGGTCCTTCCCTCATTTTTCTCTTGAGTTTTTATCCTCTACTTGTCAGTGTGTTGGGTAACTTTGTGTGTTATTGATACTCTGTCCTCTAAGTTGGAAGAATTTTCTCCTAAATATGTCACTTGTCTATTAACTTTGTTTATGGTATATTGGGCATTTGAAGGTTTTAAGTTCATAAGTAATAAATAGGTTTTTCTTTTCTTTATAGCCTTTGAGTTTTCATTCTTGGTTAAAAAATTTTCTTGGCCCCCATGACTGACACTTTTAATTTAATTGCCCCGATTTTTTGGAACTCTCTAGAAATTTTAGAAATCTTACATGTATTATAATTTTTAACACAACCTTTATTTGCCCATTCAACTGGTACCAGAATGATCTTTCCAGGAGTAGACCTGATGCTTCACTTTCTTTCACAAATGTCTTCAATGATTCTGCATCACCTAGAGCAGGAGTGTCAAACTCATTTTCACCAGGGGACACATCAGCCTCTCGGTTGCCTTCAAAGGGCCGAATGTAATTTCAACTCCTTAACCGTTAAGGAGTAGTTACATTTATACACTCCTAAAATTATTTCAGCCCTTTGAAGGCAGCCACGAGACTGATGTGGCCCCCGGTGAAAATGAGTTTGACACCACTGACCTATGGGATTAACTCTAAGAACATACAGGGTCCTGAGTAATCTGGTTCCTGCCTGGCTACCTGAGGAGTCTCCTTTATTTTATACTCAGCTGTATCACACTAACCTGAATGTTCTCTATTCTCATTAATGAATAGAATGTGGGTGGTAACAGCTGGTATTCATTATCACTGCCACCTCATGGACCACAGGGATTTGCTTGATTTTATTCTCAATTAGATACCCTTTTTGCGAAGCTCTCTGACATCACATACACAAAAAATGTTTATAGTTTGAAAAGCAGGGTGTCTTTGTGTCTGAGTCTCCATGGTGCTTAACATATATTGGCCTGGTTTTCCTAAAACAATTAGACTGTCATCATTTAATCTACCAATGGAAAGGGCCATCCATGGCAGGCATCTCATTTGGAGTGGGTATTCTAAAATTTGTAGACTGGAGTTGTTTTAAGCAGATGTGGTGAGATTCATAGACATGGAAATGACTATAATAAAGGAAGAAGTTTATACTTACAGATTTGCAGGAACAGGAGGCATAGCACATCACATAGGGACGCATTGGGGAACACCAGGGTCGGTCAGGAGACAGAAGAAGCAGAGGAAGAATGTGGGCCAGAACCTTTAATGGGTTTTTGCAGGAAGGAATTGGTAAGTAAGCTTAGGATTGGATAGTTGGAATAATTTTGGCTGACTCTGGGTGATAGTGTTGGTCCCTGGTTGTCTGGGGGTGATTTAGGGCAGATGAATGTTGGCTGGGAGTGTGAGAATTTAATAAAGAAGGTGGTTGAAAGTGCGGACTCTGGACTCATTGGTTGTATATCAAACATGTGCTCACAGGGGAGTTGTTTGTTAACTATATGAATTAGCGAACCCTGGGATTGAGGCCCCCAATGCCAGAGCTTCAAGAATATAGAAAATAAGAAAGTGTAGTCAATACAGCAGATAACATGGTGCGGGGCATCGTTACCTCATAGAGGGTTGATTATATGTGTGCCTATCTTTCTACTCCCAACTCTAACCACCATGGTTTATTTTTTAACCATGGTTTATTTATTTATTTTTAGAGAGGAGGGAAAGAAGGGAGAAAGAGAGAGAGAGAAATATTGATGTGCAAGAGATACATCCATTGGTTGCCTCTTGCATGCTGCCCCCAAATGGGGACCTGACTGGGCAAGGCAGGCATGTGCCCTGACTGGGAATCGAACCAGCAACTTTTTGGTTTGCAGGCTGGTACTCAGCCCACTGAGCCACACCAGCCAGGGAACCATGGCTTATTTTTTTGTAGGAAATGTACACAGTGGGTGTTTCTTCTACATAAAGGTGATAATTGCATTTTACCTTTCCTCTCCTCTAAACATAATAAAATATTGCTAAGTAAGTAGTATTACTGCAGATAGGCAATCCTGAGCTTATGCAGAGGGGTACACTACTTCTCCAAGGTGATAAATACAGGTGCCTGATCAGGGAGGTGCTTCATCTTGAGGTCTTCTGCTTCATGTGATAATGACATGGCTATGTTGTTTTTCTCAGCCAACTGCCAACCATCACACTTCTCCTTTATAAAGTGAGAGGGAGCTGAGTTAGATGATTTCTAAGGTTCTCTACCACCTTCAGAATTATTTCTCCTAATGATCACTGAATTATAAAACCAGAATAAAACAACAAAATGTTAATCTTCAGGGAAGAGGCTTAACTTCTGGCAAATGCTGATGCAAACATTCCTGAGTTACATTTCCAGATGGCATCTTGGGTAATTCAGGACATCCTCTGTGCGACTCCATGCTAAATGACTCACATGAGTCACACAGACACATTTGTTCCCTTGAGAAGCTAATTAAGACACTCCCTGTCTCAAACTGCTTTTCCAACTGTTTAGCTTTTTTATGGAAAATACTGAAGAAATTATTATGTCATAGGAAGACTTGATTTTTGACCCTATTTTCCAGTTGGCATTCCCAAATGAAGTGATTTAAGTATAAAAATGGAAAGCATGTCGAATTTTTAAGAAGTGTGCTCTGGGGAAAAACTGAGGCAATTGTTTTATAGCTTTCCGTTTATGCCATACTTTCATGAACCTTGGCCATTCCAAGTTCTGTACTTGGCATTTGGGGTTGTCCATTTCCTAACAATTTGATATACCTGTCCAGTAGTCTTCTCACTATGTATCCTTCTTTCTAACTAAACCATTCTGTTCTTTGTCTCAGGAATGTGATGTGGTTCATTCCTATTTCCATAAATTTTGTGTTTCTAGAATGTTCTTTTTGTTCTTTTTCACCACATACAAATTCTATGTCTGTTTTAAAACTCTTTCTTAATTTTACAGACCTCACTGATTTCTCTTTCATCTGAAAACTGTATATAGCATATCTATATCTATATCTATCTATATATCTATATATATATATCCCTATACCTTTCTATATTGTACTTTCTTTCCAAAGTGATCATAGTGAGTGCCTTGAGAGAAGGAACCATATGTAATATTTTTCCCAATCATTCATAGTATTTAGTCTATCATAGTGTTTAATAAATACTACTTTATTACCATTTTCTTTTCTTGGGTATTTATTTTTCTTTAATTGTTCAAGAAGTGGAAAATCCAATTTAATTTCATAAATGTTTTTGAGTTTTACTTTATGCTGAGAGCTGTGGGTGAAAAAAAAATTAGCGCTGGTCCCTGTTCTCCACATGTGTACAACAGCCTAGTGGGGGTGGGGATGAAGAATGGGTAGCTTGAGGGGAGTGGGGGACAGATTTGCACACAATTTCGATAGATTATACACAGAGAGCACAGTAACAGAAAGGCAAGGCCTATGACTTGAGAGTCACAGCAGATGCTCCTATGGAAATACAGTTATAGAAGGAGCCGTAAAACTAAAATAGTTTTGTGAAACTCTCCTCAGCCTGTCTGTTGGATCTGTAAATTATGCCTCCCATTCTTGATGTAATATTATGGGAAAATCTACTATATCCATAACCTTAATTTAAGATAAAAGAAGGTACAATGGTATATATAGGTAAACCTAGCCTTTTATCAGGTGTCTCTGATTTTCACATTTTAAGTTCAATGAACTTATAATTAAAAATTGTGTCATAAATGACAACAAATCAACATGACATCAAAAAGAGTCACCGATGTACCAAGTGAAGAAGATTTTTAATTATTTTAAAATAGTACTGGGCAAGGACTGCCTACTGAAGGCTAAATTATTTGGACTGCTATGCATCTCAAGCTGTATACTCTTACCTAAGATGTGAACTTAAGAACTGAAGATGTGAACTAATAGTATTCTACTTTTATGTAAAAGAGATAAGCAATAGGTTGATAAGAATTTGGGGGGCATCTGAGCTGGGAGTCTCGCAGCTGCAGCGTGGGTAACTCAGTTGCGGCGAGGCCTAGGCAGAGGAGTGCAGCAGCACACCACTTGGTGAGCCCCGTGCCTTAGCAGCCTTGGAGGCCCCCCAATGTCACCCTGGCTCCCTCGGTTCTGCCTGCCTTTGTTAGCACAGTGACTGATCGATATCAGCTGACCCAAGAACAGATTGGTGAATTCAAGGAAGCTTTCTCCCTAGTAGAAAAAGATGGCAATGGCATCATCACAACACAGGAACTTGGCACTGTCATGAGGTCACTGGGTCAGAACCCAACAGAAGCCAAATTGATCAGAGAAGTGAATGCCGATGGTAATGGCACCATTGACTCCCCAAATTTTTGGCTATGACTGCTAGAGAAATGAAAGATACAGACAGTGAAGGAGAAAGCTACAAGGCATTCGGAGTCTGTGACAAGAATGGTAATGGTTACATCAGTGTGGCAGAACTTCGTCATGTTGTGACAAATTTAGGAGAAAAACTAACAGATGAAGAAATAGATGAAATTGGCAGAGATGCAGATATGGATGGAGATGGACAAGTCAACTATGAAGAATTCATATAGATGATGACTGCAAAACGAAGACCTACTTTCAACTCTCCCCCTGTAGAAGAATCAAATTGAACCTTGCAAAACAATAGTAATAATAATTTACTCATTCTCTTTCTATATAGCAAAGCTGAATGTCAGGATTACGTTCTGTCAACACACAAAAATATGCATGTATTGGTTGGTGGCCCTCTCCCCTATAGATCAAGCTATACATTAGTTTTATCATATAAATGCTTGTACTACCTTAATGATAGGGAAGCTCTTAGTGGACTCCTTGCAGAAGATCCTTTTGCTAATGATTAATACACTGTTTGGGCTTGCCAGTTTTTCATGTATACAGCTTGACCATTGAGCACCACCAGGGATTTGTATTAAAAATGAAAAATGAAAAAACAAATTCAAAACTTATTCAAATGGTTCTAGCTCAGTGTGTTAGTATAAGTGGTCATAACTGGTTTACTGAAAGAAAACACATTTAAAACTGGTTTCCCTCAAGATGTGTGTAGAAAAGTGGGTGATGGATAAACTGTCCAGACATAGCCCACTAGCAGGATGGTCCTCTTGTACTTCCATGTGCCCTGACTCTTGGTGATGGTGACACATCCTGGTGGCATGCCCACGTGTGTTGGTTTTGCATTGTCTGCATTGTATGAGAGCAAAATGGGTGTCAGGCTGTCATTATTTTACCAAGGAAGCATCTTTGAACCCTTTGTTCATAATACCTTCTGAACCATGGCTTGGAGCCAGCAGAGGTAGACTGTGGGTATGGACTTTAGTACAGCCATCAACACTGCTGTTCAGGAAATTACAATTTACATCTATTCCAAGTTGTAAATGCTAGTCTTTTTAATATTTTCCAATAAAAAGACCATTAACTTAAACAAATAACTTTTGTAAAATGTCAAAATATGACCACAGTGCAGAATGGGTTCAGCTTAACACCCTATGTCTTGAATATTGACAATTTAGTGGGTGATAACTGAGGTTCACAGGTAGGTTTTGATTCAGCAATAAAGACTGAGTTATATTTGGCATGCTGTCAGAGTTCTATATTTTATTGGCCACCTAACAGTGATCACTGTGCAAAGCCTAGAATGGCCAGGCTCCTTAGTGAACCCTTCATAACTGAGGTACGATTGGAAGTCAGAGACCCTAGTCTCCCAAGCTGGGTCTATTACCTCCTAGCTTTGGCCTACATTGGTAGACTGAGGGGATTGGACTTAAGAATCTTATTCTTTATATTTTGTGTTTATACTGTAGCTTTCTTTGGCAGGATTTTAAGGGTTTTTTCCAATATGCATAAATCTAGTTCAGAAAGCAAAACAAATAAAACATGTAGTGATCAGAAATAGCATAAAGTTAAGAATACCTGACAAAATGACTAGATCTCACTCAAACACTAGTCACACTACAGTAGGGTTGCAAACTCTAAAATGTCTTAAGAGATGAGGCAGGCATTCCAGTTTTATTGCTGTATAAAAATCTTCCCCAAACTCAGTGGCTTTTAAGCCACAACCATTATTGCACCGTTTGTGGGCAGGGTTTGGGTAGGGCTCAGCTGAGTGAGTCTTCTGGCCACAGGATGCTGGTGGAGGTCGCTCGGTGCAGTTTAGGGGCAGAGGGGCTGATCTGGAGGACCCACTACAGCTTTGCTCATGTGCTGGGCTCCTGGGCAGGAATGGCTGCAGCTGGGCTCCACGGCCACAGCGACTGCATTGCCTACACACAGCCTCTCCAGCACAACAGTCTCAGTCTAACACGGTAACTCAGAGCCTCCAGAGAACGTGTTCCATGAAACCTGGACGGATGTGGTAAGGCTCCTGTGACCAGGCCTCAGAGTCCTAGGACATCACTTCCAGTGGGTTCTATAGGTGAAGGAAAGTTACTAAGGCCCAGATTCAAAGGGAAGCTTTTATTAAACTCCTGCCATTGAGGAAGTTCTCAATGGCAGGAAAAGTGAGAATTTGTGGCCATTTTAAAAAATTACTTTTTCTTTCATTCTTTTGTTATTATAGTAAAATACCTATAGCACAAAATTTGTGTTAGCACTTTACAGTGTGCAGTTCAGTGACATTCATGCTGTTGTGCAACCATTGTCATCGTCCATCTCCATAACTCTTTTCACCTCACAAAACTGAAACTGCATACCCATTAAATAGTAGCTTCCCACTCTCCCCTTCCCCCAGCATCTGGAAACCACCATTCTGCTTTCTGTCTAGTAAATGCATGTACTTGGAATCATACAGGTATTTGTCCATTTGCATCTGGTTTATTTCACTTGGCATAATGTTCTCATGGTTCATTTGTGTTGTGGCCCATGCCAGATTTTCCTTCCTTTTTAAGACTGAATAGCATCCTGTTTACATAGCTACAACATTTTGTTTGTCCATTCATCCATCAATGGATGAATTTTTGTGAAAAATGCTGCTATAAATATAGGTGTGCAAATTGTGGCCATTTTTAATCCAGTAGAACAGAAGACATCAATGAGTGAAATAGGCTAGGAATAAGGAAAATTACAGTAAAAACACAGTGAAAATGGCCACCCACTTTCAGTCTCAGTGTCAACGAGACATTTGGGATGTGTAAGCCTAGGGAGCTGGGGGCGTGGACTGTGGGTCTGATCTACAGCAGCAGCCAGCATTAGTGCCAGCAGCTCCTGGGCACATGGGGACACACAGCCAGAGCAGCCCCACTTTCTGTTTCAAGGAAAATGGGCATTATGGATTTTTATGTGACCTTCCCCAATTTTTAAATGTTGCCACCTAAACTTGAAAACCTTTTAAAGATTGTCAACTCAAATAAAAATATCTATGGGCTATGTAATTTGAGATCTCTTCCTAAAATATACCAATCAGTAAAGATATGTAATGATGGATATCAGGGCCTTATCTGTTTAAATAGTGTAGACCAGAGATCAACAGATTTTTTTTTTTAAGGAGAAGATACTACCCTTACCAGAGGTTTTTAGGATAAGTTTAATCAGCATAAGCTTTCCTTTTTCTGTGTTCTAATTCCTCAAATACTTTCTTAAACTCAGTATTGATTCCCATTTTATAATGATGTGACCGTAGTCCAAATGGAAAGCCCAGAATACAACGTCTCTAAGTGGATTTTGAAGTTAATTTGAAAATGAGAATTTCTTTAGGCATGCTCTGATTTTTTATCAGTTTTGTGATCCTATAAATGTGATCTGAACATTTATAATAGAAAAATATTATATATTTCACATACATCTAAAATTCCAATAATTTATTAAGCTACTTAAGCAATGCGTAATCTCTGTCAAATTGGAAATCTTAACTGTGTGTGTTTGTAACAGTTAGGTGAGAAGATGTGCTTCTATGTTATAAACTGGTTGTTTAGCCAGGTTTACAAGTGGAGGGAGTAAAAGGTGAAACGTCAGGGAAGACAAAAATAAAGAAGTAAAGAATCACAGGTCAAGGTCTCCCAAATTAAAGATTATTTCTTATGGGAAAAAAGACCCACATCTATCCCAAATGACTGAATCATGCTTTCACACATCATTGAAAATGCTGTGTATTTTAATTTCAACAGAAAACCAAACCTTTGATGACGGAGTTCTTCGTGAAGTCTACCATTATTTCTCGCTATGCCTTCACTACAGTTTCCTGCCAAATGATGAATAGAGCTTCTGAGGACCAAGAGACTGAGTTTCTGATGCAGATTCCAGCCACAGCTTTCATCACCAACTTCACTATGTAGGTGACATTGGTCAGCGACCCCAGAATGAGGACAACTATGTACGGTGGTCAGGGTGAGCCTGAGATGATGTGTGGCCCACAGCCTTGGCTGTGAGAATCTCTTTCCCGGTTGATAGCATATGGGTCAGAAGGCTGATCCTTCTTTCCCTCCCTCCGTCCTTCTCTCTCCCTTCTCCCTTCCTCCCTCTGTTTTGTGTTCTTACTCCTTCCTATGCCCTCTTCTGTTCCTCTTCCTTTCTCTCCTTCCCTCCAACAAGGTTGGGCACTCTTCAAAGTGATTGTACACTTTTAGGAAAAAGACCATGCTGTTCTGCTCCAGAAATTTTATAATAATAAGTAAACAAATCAATAAATGAGACAATTTCAGACAGTAGCAAACGCTATAACGATCGCAAACAGAAATGAGAGAGGCTTGTTGAGGTAGGGAAATCAAGGAGGTAGCTCAGAAAAGGCAGTGTTTACGTTGAGTTCTGAATAAAGAGACAGCATGAAACCTTCGCTATGTTAGTTATATTTCTTCCTTTCCCAGTGGATGGTAAAGATATGCAAAAGAGGGGAGGTGCTTGATTTGCATCTTAGGCCTGGGCAGGATTCAAGTTCATGACGTGTCTTGGAAGTTTGAGCAGATTCCCTGATTTCTTCCTGAAGAATCATAGAGGCACTGTGGGCTGGGTCTTACCTTCTGTACCTATTGAAAATTGCCCTAGAATAATTCAAAGGGAATCTAGATCCCTGGTTTGGAACATAGGTTCTGCATATCCAACAGGCAAATAAAAATATTTTTTACTGTTGTCATGGTTATGAGATCTATATTTGTATTTGCCTGGGAGCTGCAAGCTGGTAACACGGCTGTCTCTGGTTTACAGGCTAATTGGAGACAAGGTGTATCAGGGAGAAATCACAGAGAGAGAAAAGAAAAATGGTGATAAGGTAGAAGAGAAAAGGAATAAAACCACAGAAGATAATGGGTAAGTGCCGTTTTATTAAGGAATTAAAAATTCACTGTAGCAAAATGTCAAATTTTCTACCTCTTTGCCTAGCCACCTAGATCTTTTTTCTTCAAGTATTTATTTTCTTTTTTTACCATAATGATGATGATAATAATAATAATAATAAAACATACCTTGTTAACAGCACAGTAGAGAAGGATTTATAGTAAAAAATGTACATTTTAGTACTCCTACTCCCCAGTTCTCACTCTCTAGAAACATCCACTTCTAATATTTTTGTATTTTTTTGTTGTTATCTCCGTAACTCTAAATATTTTATGATAGTCTTTGTTTTCTCAAATTTCTTGATAAAAATCAGATATTACCCATTGATTCTTTGCTGGGAAGACACAGGATTTAGCATAATTGCAATGCTCCCATTCCCCCTCTGCATTCCTAATTTTTACATAATTATTCCTTCTTCTTACATCAGTTTAAGCAGTTGCACCATCTCAGACTGGACCTGCGATCTTCGATGACACTGTTCCCTCCCCTGAGCTTTACCGTACCTTTGGGTTTCCGTTTCCGGTGCCCATCTTCCCTTATCTAATCATTCACTTTCGCATTCCTGGATTTATTGGCTTTTAAATTCTGACCTGTCATGATATTTGTGTTTTTTGTTTTGTCTGTAAACTGAACCTAAACACTGACCATGAAGAAATAGCATTTACTTTTTTACCCATGCATAAATAACTAGCTGCAGAGCCATCTAGTATACTAAGAGAATCTAGAATACCAAGATTCTCTTTCCCTCTTTACCAGCCCATCTGGAGAAGCATGATTTCTTCGTATCTAGATAAAATGTGAAATTCTGTGAACATGTAAATCTGCTTTTTGTTCATTAATAAAAGAATATAGTTTTGAGGAAGTTTGTTCTCTGAAACCAAACACTGTCAGACACTCTGCTGTTGGAAGTCTTGTTAGAGAGAAGGGAACATGTGAGTCACGGGTTCACTTTGATCATGAAAACCAACCAAGGTCCACAGCTTCAGATGAGGGGTTGTCTGCCACAAAAGTCCACGTTTATCTTAATTTTGTAGTTCCTAAGGACAAGGAACCTTGAGTTTGCTTCTCAGTTCAGACTGATATTAAATGCTTTGCACACGGCCCTGCTCTTCTTTGAGCTTCCAAACACTGCTTCATTTGGCTTCGCCTGCACTCCACCCTTCCCCTAATCCTGTGATAACCTGTGTCCTCCTTTGTTTGGCAAGATGCTCCACGATGCTTCTGGTATATAATCTCCTTTGCCACAGCAGGTTATTAAAGCCTAACTTTGTTGGTCTATAAGTGGTCTTTATCAGATGGGCTTTATCAGGATTATCTTTTCTTACAATTCATAAATTGTTCAGAATCATGCCACAGTTTTGTTTAGTCAGATCACAACACATACATACCTGTTTTCTCCTGGAGTTTCTAATTGATTTTCCTGTGAGATAAAGCTTAATTTTGTCACAATTAACATCTAGCAAGACACAGAACTCATTTGAAATGGTGAGTACGTAAACAGCCATAACAGTGACATCCATGTCATTGTCGACAGCAACTGGAAGGCGTCACTAATTGAAAGACATATCCTGATTTCTGAGCTGTTTTTTTTAAAGATTTTATTTATTCATTTCCAGAGAGAGGGAAAGGGAGGGAGAAAGAGAGGGAGAGAAACACAATGTGTGGTTACCTCTTGAGTGCACCCTACTGGGGACCTGGCCTGAAATCCAGGCATGTGCCCTGACTGGGAATCAAACTGGTGACCCTCAGGCTGGCCCTAAATCCACTGAGCCACACCAGCCAAGTCTTATTTCTAAGCTGTTAAACATGACTGAATAGGTGTCATGGAAGACTGTCATTGCTTTGCAGCCTTAACATATGATGTTTATCTTGGGATACCTTTTTATTTTTATCTGGGTTGATTTAATTACTTCTTGTATTCCATATCTTCCTCCTTCTTGATTTTCACCCTCACTTTGCTGGAGTATATTCTCAAGTAACTTCCTTAGAATGAGTGTATGAGAGGCAAACTCTCTGAGACCTTGCTTAAAATGTTGACTGTGTATAGAATTTAAGATTCAGAATAATTTAGCATCCAAACTTTGAAGACATTGCTCCAGTGCCTCAAAACATCCAGCATTACCGATGATGCATTTAATGTGGCCTAATACCATTTATTTTCTTTGTTTTCTCTACCTGATATTCTGAAATTTACAATAAGGAGTTTAGGTGTCAGTCATTTTTTTTATTGATTCTGCTCGGCTCTGAAAAAAACTTTTTCATTTTAACACTTCTGTCTCTTTTTAGCTCTGGGAAAGAGAAGTATAGGAAGCCTGTCATCTTAACCATTCATTCATTTACACATAAACTTGGAGTTCTCCCTGTATTTGGTCCTGATTCTCACTCTCATCTCGTGGTGTTCTGCTGAACCACAGCCTGGAGTCTCTCCGCGCTTCTGCAGGTTGTTTGTTTCTCTGCTTTACTGCAGACCCTTCCCACGTAGTCTGAACTGTAGAATTCTTGGTCTACTGAATTTCCCAAGTCTTCCAGAAATGTTTTCCCATGTCCTACCTGCTGATGGTTGCCCCTATCACTCTTACTCCTTTTGTTTAATCCTTTACTCTCCCTGTTATGGTCAGTCTGCCACCTTGAATCAGAGAACTTTCACTCCAAGTACTGAAAACATTTAAAATTATTTGTATTTTTATATGCTTTGCAATCCTTTACTTTTTACCCTTCCCTTAAACACATCCGTTATATTTTACCAAGGTGTAAAAACCTCATATATTAGCTATTTTAAAGTTACATAAAATGCCTGGTTTATTTGGCTATCCCCACAAAGAAGCAAATGCAATTTACATGTTGACCCCAATGCTCTCTCTTCCAGCAGTTCACCTACTTCAGCATCCCCTTTCCCCTCTGTCCCCTTGAGTATGACTCAGGGAGAGGTAGGAGAGTTCAGCAGTGTTTGAATTCTCTACTCCTTAGTACCCTTTGAACCTTTGCAACCTTTCTCTAGTGTAGGCCTTTACTTCTCCCAATGCTAACTGTTACTTTTAATTTCTAAGGACTGTTACAGAGAGTTCGGCTGTGCCCCAATGAGACGTGAGGGAACCTGGCTTTCTTTGACTCTTTGTTCCCATTTTTTTTTCCACACAGGGAGAAGGGGACTGAAACGTTCAGAGCCTCCATAGTTATTCCCAGCAAGGACAAAGCTGTCTTCCTCCTGAGTTATGAAGAGCTCTTGCAGAGGCGGCTTGGGAAGTATGAGCATGTCATCAGTGTGCGACCCCAGCAGCTGGTGGGGAGGCTGACAGTGGAAGTGAATATTCTGGAGAGTTCGGGCATCACATCGCTGGAGGTGCTGCCTCTACACAACAGTAGGCAGAAGGGCAGCGGGAGGGCGGAAGGTGAGTGGTGCTTGCTGGGTAAGACGAGGTATTCTTGGGTAACTCAGAGCTAGGTGTTGGCTTTAGAGCAATTTATAAAACAAATGGCACTTTTTTGACAAAAGCTCTAAGTGTTTTTCAGGAATTTGAATGATTGCAACAAAACAAAGACAGTGCCCTCTACAATTTTTTTTAAGCTAGTCTTTATCAAGAAATTTTTAAATGTTTAAATTATTTGACAGAGTAATTTCACTTCTGGGAACCTAACCTAGGTGAAACACCTAAAATATTGGAGATGTTATATGCATGAACTCATCTGATAATACTTGCAGTAGCAAAAACATTCCATCATTCTAATTATTTAACCATACAGATATGGTTAGTAGACCATTGTTACAAACATGATTCAGATGTTACGAGGGAAAAAGACACAATTGTGCATACACCATAGTGTTAAATATGATACCTCTGTTCAATAAAATTTGACAAAAGACTAGAAAGTTCAATAAAATAATCATTTTATACTAGGGGTGAGGGATTATGGGGTCATAAAAAGTATAAAAATATGTTTTAAAAGTAATAGTTTACATTAAATATTCACTTGTATTGGGCCTTATCCTGTAGTGCCAGTAAGGCTTAGACAGGTGGGTCCACAAATTGCCCCAGAATCAGAATGACAAGCTTTCAGATCATTGTGACATTGAGGCCAGAGAAATGCTGAGCAATGAGTGAATGTGCAGAATCTTAATTCAACCCCTGTGATTGCAAGGAAAGTGGCCCAAGAAGTCTTCTTGTGCGAGAATATTTAGGAATGAGATTGGAAGGGGACAGGACAAATGACTTGACCAGGGCAAGAAGAGAATGTTGTGATTTTACACAATGCAAAAATAATCCAGAAGTGACTTATTTGCATGAGAAGTGGTTACCCTCAAACTCTGGAGTGTGTCCTGGTCTGTGAGGGACTCAGGTCTTCTGTTATGTATTAATTACAAACATTGAGTTTGACCCTCTCAATCCCGACTTAATTGAGATTTTAACATATTGTCAAGGTATCTGACATTCAGAAATGTCACGAGACGCAATACACCATTCTTATGTCATGTGAGTGGTCATGTATATGGTTAATGGATTCTAGTTATTGATATGACCTATAACTTTGAAAAAAACTACCTAGGCCCCGTAAGACTCAGCTTGCGCATCTGCACATCAGGGCTGATAACTACCTCACAGGGCCATCGGGAAGTGTTAGTGTGTGCAGAGTGCCTTGTCCAGGGGAAGAGCTTAATAATTGTTAGATATTGCTATTATCATTATCATCTTATTTTTTCTTTGCAAATCAATACTCTTATTAGATTGTAAGTGTGATTTTTGAAGGCAGATCTTTGTCTGATTAACCTTTATCTCCTTAAAATGCCTTTTAGAGAGTAGATAGCTAAGTAAGTAACTGCAAATTAGAGGAGAAAGCAAAAAATATATATACAGGGTTCAGCACAAATAATGCTCCTTTTTTATGACCTGGTAATCTATATCAAATCTTCTATTACAAAATCATAAGCATGTAATTCTGTAAAATATCATGCTCAAACACTCCATATGACATTTCAAGTGAGATGTTCACATTGCTGTCCATCTCATGTGAGATATTCACGTACCTGACCAACCACACTCAATGGTGTTACTTCTGCCAGACCCTGTATATATATATATATGCACCGAAACTAATAGCAAAGAATGTTCTTCAGTTTCATTTCTTCCTCATCATAGTTTATAGGGATATTTTCTTATGTACAACTGTGTGAAGGAAATCTTCCTGGGGGAAGAGTCTTTGAAAGTGTAGGATCTCAGAGAGGGCAGAGCAGCTGTGCCATGCATCTGGAGTGAATGCCCAGGGCTCAAGAGATGCATGCAGGCCCCCCATGGGAGAATCTGAGGGTCACGCTGCAGTAATGAGATGTATGTGTGTTTTGCCTTACTTTCAGAATGACTATGATTCCTCAGAGATGTGTGCAAGTTGTGTTGCGTGTGTGTTAGGCTTGGAGGGGGTATAAATCCAATTGTTGACCTGAAAAGTTGCTTACTGTTTATATTCAGGGCCTGAGAGAATCTCAGAGGAATTTTTCCAGACCATTGATCTCTTGGGACCTGTTTATTTTTAAGAAAATTGTTTTCTTAGCTCTTTGTAGCAGAGCAGATATTTTCTCTCCAGAGCATGGAGGTCTCACAAGCATTTACCCAGGCCAGGTGCAGAGGACAGATTTTTTGCTCCTCATTCCCATCTTTAGGGTTCAGCTGTTATTATTCCTGCAAAATCGAAGCCTCAGCAGGAGCAGCACACATGTTGTGATTTTGTCTGGACGCTTGCGTGTTTCTAAAAGAAATCTGGGGTAGAGATCAAACTAGGCCTGGCTTTGCACCAACAGGAGCTGTGACTGCATGAATGTGGATCCAGCCAGTACATTCCTCTGTCAGAGCTGGCTGCGTTCAGAAGTCAGAATTCTGGAGTTTCTCTAGGCAAATCTCAGACCACTGGCCCCATTTGCATCTTCTAAGGAAACAATTCTAGATAAGGATTACTATGTGCAAGATACTAGGCTTGGCACTTTGCATGAATCATTATCTCATTCAATCTTTATGACAACCCTCTTAGGGAGTGTTTTGTAAAATACTGAGGGTGTGAGTTCAAATTCCCAGTTTTCCCTTCATTATATAAAAATACACACACACACACACACACACACACACACACAAGCCTAAAAGCAATATGACCTATCTTTGCCTCGGTTTACTTTCCTGCTATATCAGGATTGGGCCCATGGCTATTGAATCGTAAATTAACAAGCTACTTCTCAATCTATGAGCTGATTCTCTGAGGTGTAATTTGGAAGCCAAAGTGTTATACTTTCTGGATTAGTAAAATGTCAGCTCATGTACTCGGAACTCATGTAACTCATGGTTCAGAATCTAAAAGATGACAAGCTAGTATACAGCGAAAGGCAAGACTCCCTCTCCTGCCCCCAACACCCCCAGTTCCTCTCCCCTAAATGTTTTAGTAATTTATGGGCTCAATGAAAAGAATATTTGAAATTTAGACTTCCTAGGACATCTTCGGGTTGTGTTATCATGTGAAGGCATACGCCAAGATAGATAGTCCACTGGTGTGGTTGGTTCAAGGCTGCTTATTTCACTCTCTGTGTTAAAATCTCAAACTTCCTATTGTCCCATGGACCCAAAATTTCTGCCCCTTTCATGATTACAAATTTTTTTGACAAAATTTTCATTTGTAATGAGATCCCTAATAGATAGGAGTAAAATAAAATGAGATAAAGTAAGAAATAAGGTACCTTGTTTGTTTTATTTATTCCCTTTTGCTTTACATTGGTGACTCTTGAACTTGGCTACACCTTTATAGACACCTGGAGAGACTTTAAAAAGTAAAATATAGATGACTGAGTTCTACATTAAACACTTGAATTAGAAATTGTCAAGATAGGCCTAGGTAGCTGTACATTTTGAGATGTGATGTTCTATGAATTTATATGAGAAACTAAGAATTTATATAGAGAAACTATAATGAGCACTTTTAACATGTTCATTTATTTGTAAAACTAAAGAAAAATACTGAATTTTTTCTACTTTTCATAGTTTATTAGAGCGTAGCCTTTTTGGGATTCAGTTTATGTAGCTTGAAATGTACTCATATTAGGTGTCAAGTTCATTGATTTTTAGTGCATTTGTAGAGTTGTGCAACCATCATCTCAATGCAATCTTAAAACATTTCTATCAGCCCACAAAAATCCTTGTATATTGTTGCAGTCACTCCCTGTTCCTACCCCAGCCCCAGGCAACTACTAACCCACTTTCTGACGGTAAAGATTTCAGATAGCTCTATTTTTAAAAGCTCCCCCTGGTATTCTGATGCTCAGTAAATGTTGAGAACCCTTACTTTGAACTTCCCAGCAGAACTTAGGGATATTAACTATGTCAGGATCTTGATCTACAGCAGCAGATTTTAAATTAAAAAAGATATATCTTTAACTTCACAGGACCACAGAATAACTTTTTTTAGTGATTTTTTAAACGGATTTTATTTTTAGACAGACAGGAAGGGAGGGAGAAAGAGAGTGAGAGAAACATCAATGTGTGGTTTCCTCTTGCACGCCCCTCACTGAGGAACCTGGCCTGCAACCCAGGCATGTGCCTTGACTAGGAATCAAACCCACAACCCTTTGCTTCTCAGGCCCACACTCAATCCACTGAGCTACTCCAGCTGGGGCAGAATAGCTTTTGATCCTTATTAAAATGTGTATGCCTCCTCTTTTTACCAACATGTTTTTACTGTTGGATTCAGACCAACACAGAATTACTCACACAGTTGGTGGGAACTAGCTTCGTCCCATATCCAACTTCTGCTCATCAACGTAGAAAGTTGAGATGGAAAAGTACCAACAGGCCATCTCTACGGGGCTAGTGCATACTTCTAATACAGTCTCAAGCTCATTAAACTACATACCCCATCTTCTCTTGGAAAAGACAAACATGATTGTTCAATGCATTTTGGTGTCAAAAGAAATTCTCTACTTTCCTCAGTTCCCACCGCAGCTTCCTGGACCCGTGGGAATTGTCCTCCTGCTCTTCCCACTCTTCCTCCCACCACTGTGAGAAAAGGTGCTCTTACTTCTTCAAAGCCTGGCTTAGTGTTTGCCTTCATCCTGGCTTTTTCACACAGCCTGACCTCTTGTTTTCAAGCCTTCTTTGGCATTAGTTCCCTTCTGTTCCCTGAGGTTTCCCTGGGCTGCTGACTTCGTTTTCAGGCCTCTCAGCTGGAGTTCCAAGAAGTCTTAACTCCTCAATCTCTGTCAAAACTGAGGGGCCCATGTGATGTTACTCTAATTTGGCATTAAAAGGAAATTTTAGTTTCAGGAATGAGGGCTTTCATAAATGTCTTAATGTTCTTTCCGTGTCTGGCTCATCATTAAGGGGTGCTCCATACTCAAGAACACAAAAGAAAGACAAAGAGTATC